CTTGCAGGATTTGATCAACCTTATGAAGATTCTGTGAAGAAAGAAAACCTCAAAGTTAATGAAAACGAACCAATTGAGAATATGGTTTGTTCTTTTTTTTTTTTTTTCATCTTACAATTACAAAATCCATTCGATAAAAAAAAAACTCATGTTTTTATTGTAGGACAAGGAAGAGGAGATAGCTGCAAACTCTTGGGAGAAAAGGATAGCTTTTGTACTTTGCAACCATGAAAAGGGTCTTATATTTAACGCATTAGAAGAATGTCTAAAGAGCAACTCCATAGACATGACAAAGAAGTGTCTTTCCATAGCCACATGGCTCATATACATGCTTTACAATCTGCCCGACACAGGTGTCAGAGAAGCTGCCCGGAAGGCTTTGCTTGACCAATTCATATACATTCTACAATCCTCCAAGAATCTTGAAGAGAAGATTTTGTCAACTGTTGCCCTGAGAAGCTTCATTAGTGATCCAGGTGAAATCAACCATATCTCCACAATTCACCTTGTTCTATGTTAGACATGACATGACAAAACAATTTACTAATAATTGTTTGTTCAGGTGCTCTTGTTGAACTTGGTAGCTACGCTAAAGGCTTGTACAAAACCTTGAAAAAGCTCAAGAGAAGCTCTGTGGTTGTCACTGACATAATGAAAACATTAATGAATTTGCCATCTGTCAATGCAGTGAGTACAAACCTTCAATATGTGTACATTTTAACATAATCTTTCCTGACTCTTTGAATTCCAGGCAGATATGTGGAGTTGTTCAGAAGGGTTTGAGCTGGATACATCAATGAATGGAGAGGTTCTATCTTTGGTTAACATAAAAGGTCGACTGATAAGTAGCCATTCTGATGGAACCATTAAGGTGTGTAAGAAATAGCAAATGTACTTTCATCTTCTTAATTTTTTGAGTGATTGGTATTAATTTTTTTTTTTTCTACAATTAGGTTTGGGATAGTGGGAAAAAGGCGTTAAGGTTGATTCAGGAGGTTCGTGATCATGCAAAAGCTGTCACATGTCTTTATGTTTCACCTTCAAGTGATAAGATCTATAGTGGTTCCTTGGATAAAACAATACGGGTATGCCTATCATTTTATTTTCCTTTTCTAAATAAAACTTACTTTCACCGTTTTTAACAATTTATATTTTTTCACCCCTAGGTATGGGTAATCAAACAAGAAGGAATCCACTGTATTCAGGTTCATGATGTTAAAGAGACTGTCTGTGGGTTGGTAGCTGACGCAGATTTTGCATATTTTTTCTCTCAAAGTGCTGGAGTCAAGGTTAGATCTCTAAACTCAAAAGACCTTTTTGCCCATTAGGGTAGACCTTTAAAGCAAATGCTGACTAAATTACATCATGTGTAGGTTTATGGATGGTCTGGAGTTATCAAGAATCTCAACATCAAACAAACTGTAAAAAGCCTTGCCTTGAATGGGAATAAACTGTATTGTGGTTGCAGTGGTTTCAACATACAGGTAATAATAACATATAATTCCAAATCTAAATTCTCTTTCCTCACAAATAAAACATTTCAAAACTCTGAATTATATAAACTGTCATCAGGAAGTAGATTTGCGAAAAAACACATCAACAACATTTTACGCAGGAGCAAGAAAATTATTGGGTAAACAATCAATCCATTCCCTATATATTCAAGACAATCTTCTGTTTGTGGGTGGAACATCAATAGATGGAATTGCAGGAAAGGTAGTAAAAAAAAACTATAAAATAAAAACTACAATTTTTTTTTTTTTTTTTTTTTTTTTATTAACATTATAAAGTTGTTAATTGCCAAACTGTTGGGAAATCCGGTAGGTATTCTCTCTATCAAACAGAGGAGTAATAGGATCATTATCAACGGGATTTGACATTCAGTTGTTGGCTGTGAATAATGATTTCATATTCGGAGCTACAAAAAGTGGGAGTATTGAGGTGTGGTTGAAGGAAAGGTTAACTAAAGTTGCTTCCATTAAGAATTCCAAAATCACATCCATGGCATCAGATGTTGATGGAGAAATGCTATTTGCTGGCTCTTCTGATGGCAGAATTCAGGTATGTTAATGAATAAATGGTTCGCATATATGCATATGGCATTTTTGTGTGAATCCAAATTGACAATTTTTTGTATGTTGATTTTCAGACTTGGGGTTTAGATTGATATATATGTCATATGTGACAAGAAAGAAGATATATAAAGTGGTGATGAACAAATTGAATCCACAAGCTCACAACTAGCACGATGAAAATTTCCATGTGGTGTTTTTCACCTCCATATGAATCCTGTTAATAAATACATCAGAGACTTTGCATCCCTTGTTCAAATAATTAGTTCTCTTGCATTTGTTGTTTATTGTTGTAGTCGCATCATTGCACATTCTTTCTAGGCACATGTATAGTAATGTCCAACTTTGATAAAATTATAATCACCCCTAATCAAGACTATATTGCATCATTCAACTTAGACTCTTTATGGACAACTGTCTAAACCCTTCGCATGTGCACCTCTAATTTTGTGAAATTGCATTACAGTTTGACCAATTTTGGTTATTTCCTATCATCACTTTTTGGTTAATTTGCATCAAATTTATCCTTTTTGGTTATTTCCAAGTCTTCATTATTGGGGAAGATTCATAACGAATTTCGGTATTTTCTCAAAATGTAATGATTTTTTTAATTAAGATGTTCAATGTTTTGAAAATTTTATCTATGTCGGTGACTATTAAACAAATAAAAAGATGGTTCCGGCTTCCAATTCAACATTAAAATTACCAGCTATTTTTTACATAGATTAATGGTGACGTAAAACAAGAAAAGTTAATAGTTTGGTATGTTATACAACGAGAAAATGACCAGAAGTTTGGTCACAAATAGCATTTTGACTACTTTTATTATCAAACTGAAATAAACTAAATCCATACTCCATATTTTGTTTCTATCTCGTCATACAACATTTGATGATATGTAACTTGTTCATCGGTCATGTTTTGCCACAAAAAACAAATGTTATTATATAAAAAAATGATTAAATTATTATGTAAATAGCTATGATCATTACGGATTTAATATTTAATATTGTAGATTAAAATTAAAAATAAATTAATCAAAACATATTAAAACTTTAAACGTTAAAAGACATAAAATAAAACATCTATACCTATATATTTATATATCTATAATAATAACGGTACAAATACTTGCACTAAATTTATTTGAAACTCTTACTATATATAATTCAAGAGTTTTATAACTTATGTCACTATAACTCAATAGTTGATTATTATTATTATTATTATTATTTTAATAATTTATGGTTAATTATTAATCGACACTTATCATATTTATTGTTTATATATATATATATATATATATATATATATATATATATATATATATATATATATATATATATATATATATATATATATATATATAAACTCACACACACATGAGGCTTTTTGGGTTTGGAAAACAAGATGAAGAAAAAAATTACTTAAGAAATTACAAAGCCCTACTTTGGGGTGTATGCATCCTTGTATATCGAATCAAGTCACGAGTTTAAATTTCAGATTTTAAGGTACCGATGACAGATATGATTTTATTTTCATTCTTCATTATTCTTGTTGCGTCTTTATCTATGGAAGGTATCTTTAAAATCCAAGTCATTTTTTTGGAAGTATGTTTACAAAACAGGTGTGTATTGTATCCCATGGCCTTTGTTTTTGTTTATTATAATTTATTTTGTGTATTGTTTTTTTAACTTTTGAACCAACAATTTGAATGTGTGGAATTTTCGAGTTATTTTTTTGGAAAAATATTATCTATTGTACCATATAGCCTTTGTTTTTGTTTATTATTATTTTTTTGTGCATCATTTTTTGAACTTTTGAACCGATAATTAAGTGTGTTTGAAATTTCTATTCTTTTTTTTTTTTTTTTGGAAAAATATTCACATTGGGGGTTATTGTAAAATTTTTGGAGGATCTCATGTAATAGACACCGTAAAATATGATTTGGGCATTGATATGACTTGAATGGATGTTGACCCATCCAAGTGTAAAAATCCGAAATCAAAATGGAGCCTCGTGTGATATGAACCTTTATTGATAGTTAGGTTGAAGAGTTATGCTCGACACGATATTAGTTAGGGTTTTATTCTATCGTTTGTCAAAATATCATGTTGTTTATAGTTAGGATTTCAAGTTGTCCTTTTATAAATATTCAACCTCAATATTAACATTAATCTATTTTATAGTTAGGATTTCAAGTTGTTCTTTTATAAATATTCAACTTCACTATTAACATTAATCTATTTTATCACATGGTTTCGTATCCTGGTAATATTTTATATCAATCTTTTGATTTAGTATAAAAAAATATAGTTATTTCATGGTTAATGCTATTCTTAGAAAGACTTAAATTCAATTTTACATAACTCTCACTCCTCACCCACTATTTAGGTATTTATACAGGACAAATGAACTTGTACAATACCCAATACCCAAGCCTAACCGAAAATCCCTATTCTAATAAAAGAATAAGTTTAATCTCCTATTGACAAGTGTCATATAATTAGAACACCTTATTAATGTTATATATCCATTATCATGCCATTTGTCAACCTATTAATTATTCATTTTAAATTTCAAAATTTTAATTTTTTCACTCTAATTACATTAAACTAATAATTCATTTTTTATTTAAATTTTAAATTTTCCCACTCTAATTATATTAAATTAATAACATTAGATTGAAAAATAAAATAAATTTAATACATATTATAAGATGATATAACTTAATGTATTTATTTAAATCAACGATTATAATTTTATATAATTAAAAAAATTTATTTTAAATAATAATTTATTTAAAATAATTAATTAATAATTTTGACTTTTTATATGAAAATTTAATTAATTTTATAATAGTTATAAACTAATACATAAATAAATAAAATAAAATAAAAAAATATAATTGGCGTGTACTCTACGATTCTTTGTATATTGTAACCGCTCCTACTCATATTAAAATCGTTAAAGGGAGCCCGAATTTTCAATCTCTGAAAAAAAGAAACTCAAGCCTTCGCTTCGCCCCCGCAGCCCTCTCTTTCTGTCTCCCACTCTACGCCTTGCCCACTCCCGCCTCCGGTCATCTTCCCGTCGTGATTCCGATAGCCTCCTTCTACCTCCACCCACTGCCGCCGCTACCTGTTAAGGGATATTGAATCTTGAGGTATTTACAACTTCCTGTTTTCGAAATACATAATTCTTCGTTACTCGTTAATAATTATTTATTTATTTGTTTTTTATTTATTGTTATATTTTAATCGGGTGAACTTACGTAGGGTTTCTTGAATATCGATTAATTTGTTCATTGTTAATTTGTAGTAGTTAGTAGTGTTAATAATTCAATTTGTTGAATTAATCCGGGAAATTTTATCTATTACAATTTACAATGATTCATATTTGAACCCTTAAGGTAGGTCATAATAAGGTTATCCATGCTTCTTAAGAACAATAATATCCCTCAACCTTGTCATAACCATTTTTTCCTTGTCATTGCAGTATCTCTCAAGTCAACCATGGTTTACACAGCTATCGATACATTCTATCTCACAGATAAACAACTTAAGAACACACCTTCAAGAAAAGACGGAATAGATGAAGCCACTGAAATGGCACTTAGAAGATATGGCTGTGATCTTATACAAGAGAGTGGTAATTTACTCAATGTGTATCCTCTTTCTAAACTCTATATATACATTTAATTTTTTGTTTTTATTCATCCCAAATCCATGAGAGTGTGATTTTACACAGATATTGATTAGATCATAGAAGTTCTTAACCATATAACATAACATGCAGACCACAACAAGTAATGGGCACAGGTCAAGTTCTTTTTCATCGGTTTTATTGCAAGCAATCATTTTCTAGTTTCAACGTGAAGGTTTGTCACTTTTACTCATTTCCATTCATAATATATAAAGCTATATTTCTTGTTTGTTGCTAACATGCACTTCTTATTCTTTCTTGTTGACAGAGAGTTGCTGCTACTTGCATTTGGCTTGCATCAAAACTAGAGGAAAACATCAGGACTCTAAGGCGAATCATCTATATTTTTCACATAATGGAATGTAGAAGGGAGAATCTACCTTTAGAGCATTTGGATACATCTTCGAAGGTGTTTAATATTTGATATTAGGTCAAGAACGTGCTTTAGTTGAAAACCCAGTTTATATCCCATCTGAAATTCTGAATCATGCTTTATGTTTTTGTTGTACAGAAATATCTGGAATTAGAGGCGGATTTGAAAAGATGCGAACTACAAGTACTGAAGGAAATGGGTTACATCTGCCACGTTGAACTTCCTCATAAATTCATGGTAGCTTACCTTGAAGTTCTTGAAGCACCCCATCAGATGATACAAGAAGCGTGGAATATTGCAAACGACAGGTATGTAATATGGATCCCATTATCACAAGTACGTAGGATATTTTAAGATTCTTTTTAATTACTACTAAATTCACTTTTTGTTTTTTTTTTTTTCTTTTCAACAGTATGCGTACAACTTTATGTGTGCAATTGAAGAGTCACGTTGTGGCATGTGGTGTTATTTACACTGCAGCTCGCAGATGCTATGTTCATCTTCCTGAAAACCCTCCATGGTGGGAGCTATTTGATTCCAACAAAAAGGAGGTAGAAGAAGTTTGCAGAGTTGTAGATCACTTATATAGTCTACTACCCAAACCACAATATATACCCGTATGCAAAGAAGATGGTTCATTTACAATGTGTAATACATCATTGGATTCACGATCCCAACCTCTTGCAGAGGTCCACCTCTCTCTCTCTCTCTCTCTCTCTCTCTCTCTCTCTCTCTCTCTCTCTTTTGGTTTTTACCTTTCTTCCATTGTTGTGTGCGTATTATGAATTTAGGTTTTCTGTGTTTTGTGTTTTATATAGGAAGGTACATCAAGTGGTGATCCACTGATGCTTGATGATGCAAATACAAGGAAGGATGAAGCAGAAGCTGTTTTAAAGAGCAAAGAACATGTAACAGAGGAAAAAGAAAGGAAAAGGAAAAGGAAAAGGAAAAGGAAAAGTCACAACTGTAAAAAGGACCGATTCCAGAACATACTTCCTAGAAAACATTAACACTTGAAATACTTTTTGTTAAAGTAACGCTTGTACAAAATCTTACTTTAGTTTACATAGCTTTACTTTTCAAATCAACATGAATTCCATATTCCACTTCATCTACATTCTTCGCTTCTTTAACTTTATATGGATGGCAATGTTTAAATTTATGTTGATAATAATATCCCATATAACATTAATTTGAAAAGTTACAAAAACCCACAAAATGATATGAGAGGTAGATGTCCCATTCTTAAAATGTCATATTTGCCTTTTATACATTAAATATATGCACTTTTTAAATATCAGAATATCATATATGCTATTTTTCAACAACAAAAACTATACAATCAATGCATCTCAAGATGAAACGTTTTAATTTTTAATTATTATAATAATTCTAATATATAAAAAATGATTATAAACTAAGGGTGAGCATTTGGACTGGATCAGACCAGCTCTTGGACCGGATTGGTTTCGAAGAATATTGTGGATCGTGGACCGGACTGGATGAGACTTACCGAATCTAGATCCATGTCGGGGTCTTGTCCATGTTTTCCGGTTCTTGGACCCGTTTGGACCGGTACAATTTTACATGCACACGATATAACTTGTTAAACTGCGTTTTTGGGTTTGATATATCTCGTTAAAACGAATATGTTGTTGGGTTTGATACGTTACAACTCGTTAAAATGAATATTTTTTAGGTTTGATATGATATAACTCATAAAAATGAATATGTTTCCATTTCTTGTGCCATATGGAAATTAATAAGACGTTGTTTGATTACAGTATATGGAACCAAGCATACCGAGACATTGTCCAAGATCGTTGGCTAAATTGATGGAGCACTGGTGGGACACTAACCCCACAAAGAGGCCTTAGATGAAAGATGTGGTGGTTATATTAGAAGAAATTACAAAATCAAAAGAGTTGCAATTGAGGTCGCAACATCCAGAGAGGTTTAGTTCAGTTTTTTTTCAAGCTTAGAGGATGAAAGTGCACAGCAAAGTAGAAAAAAAGAAAAGAAAAAAATGAGCAAGTTAGTGATATGAACGTGGTCGATTTTGTACACAATCATCTGAGATGTTAATGTGTATTGTTTTCAACCAGGCTAGACGTTGTATACCGATGCCTTAGGCCGGATGGTATCGTATGCGGGGAAGGCTGTGGGAAGTGTCCCACTATACGGAACACCGCACCATCGGTGCGAGGAAGAGGGTGCGGGTGGGGATGCCGCGTTCTCACTCCTCTTCCTATTGGTTGTTTATTTTTATTTTATTATTGTTTTTTTTATTCAAATGGCTATATAACCGTTATTATATATATATATATATATATATATATATATATATATATATATATATATATATATATATATATATATATTTTCTTTTATTACATTGTAAATACCACAACATCCAACCATTTTTTAACCCATACTTTTATTCTCTCCAAAAAATATTAATCAAAATATCATCATCTTTATCATCTGATTCGACGGCTCTAAATGAGGCTAAGTTTATCGGTTCCGTCATCGCGAAAACGGTTGCATACTTTCAAAAATTGACTAGGCGAAACATCACGTGCACGATCTAAACCAAGAAAGTCGTGGTTGCGTAGAAATCACGAAGCCAGACACGATCATTTTATAGAAGATTACTTTGTAGATGACGCCATCTACACTGTAAAGTTTTGACGTCGGTTCCGGATGAGGAATAAACTATTATTACGTATTGTTGGCGATTTGGAAGGCCGTTTTCTATATTACCCATTGTAATATAAGATAATTCAATAAAACCTAAATGTTAGGAGATAATTATGGATTAAATAATGATGATTTATTTGATTGTAATTATTTTTATGGATATGGTTAATAATTTAAAGACAAATTACTAATCCAACCAAATTCATTAATGACTTCTCACTTTTTTGCAAAAATTTAGGACTTATTTCAAAATATCCATCTAAACCGTAGGTGGTTGAATGGTCTACTGTTTCGTCCATTTACCTACTATTTTGATTTTAGTATATAAGGATTTTTTTTTTTCACTTTTCATTACGAAGCCGTAGACGAAAAAATGGTCTGTTGTTTCCTCTGAGAAATCTATTGTTTCCTAAAGAGTAGATTAAAAATGATCTACTGTTTCGTCTAAAAACCTATGTTTTTTTTTTCAAAATTTTACCGTATTGTTAATTAGCAGTAGTTTTTGTATATAGGAATAACTTTTTTTTTTTTTTTTTTGAAAAAAACTCGTAGGTTTCTTACGAAACCTACGGTGTATAAGTCCATAATGCACAAAACCGTAGTTTTTTTAACCCAAAACCGTAGACTTCTACCCAAAATCGTAGTTTTCATTAAAAAAAAAGAGAAAACAATAGATTTAATCTAAAACTGTATTTTATAGAGAGAAAACCTTAGGTTTAAAAAAAACCCTACGGTTTTATATCTTCAAAATGATTTTTTTTAATACTAAACACTAAACAGTAGACGAATTAGCAAAACAGTAGATGGTTCTAAAAACCTATGGTTTCGTGGGCTATTTTGGAACAATTTCTAATTTTTGGCTAAAAATAGTTAATTACTTTCTTAATTTGGCTAGATTAGTAATTAGTCCATAATTTAATTAATTGATTAATTAAAAGATAATTAATATATCCATAATTGGCTACTAGATAATTATTAATTGGATTAAATAATTAATATTTTTAGGTTGTTTGGAATTTAAAATTAAAAGGTTTAATTTTGGAAATTTAAAATAAGAAACCCTAAAATATATCCTTATGGATTTTATAAATCTATATGTGGTTTAAATTTAATTAAATTAAAAGTTTAATTAATTAAAAGATTAAAACCTTAGTATTTTAAAAATATTTAAAATACACCCTATACTATATGTGAGATTAAGAGTTTAATAATTACTATATGTATAAGAAAGGTCAGTCGAATCGCTAGTACATCTCATTCATGATACTGGTCTATAAGGGGAGTTTAAGGAAGCGGCATATAAAATGACCGCCATTGGGTGTCCACTCTTACCCATCACTCTCTTGACTAGCGGAGGGTCGTTAGCCGAACGGGTTCGATAGGACATTTAATCCTCATTAAAAGTATAATGATTAAGTAACTAAACCATTTTCTAAAATCTCATTCTTAGTTACTTTAGGAAAAATGTGAATTTGATGCTGACCCATGAAATTGCACATTGCACCTTATTGGTCGTTAGTAGAGCATGTGTGGTTAACCGACACACTAATATAGACTAATATTGTTGGCAGTGGGTGTCTCGTAAATTATCATTGATTAATGGAGCGTGTGTTGTTAACCGGCATCCCAGTCACAAAGTGAGAGCGTAATCGAGATTAAACATACCATTGAATAGTTCAATGAACCACAAAAGATCTAGGAGTTTCATAATATTGAAATTGGTAAATGTTTTACCTACCTAAAATAGATTCGAATTTGATTACGACATCCCTCTTCAGAATTCGAATCGAAAATATGGATCCTAGCCTTAATTTAAATTTTGGGTTAATAATTAAGGATTAAAATCAACTAACTTGAATTTTCCTTTCTCCCTTTATAGCTGTCGAGTTCAGACGACAATGGTCTTCCACATCCTTTTGGAAATGGTTTTCCGTATAAATCTGAAGATGATCTTCCACAAGTTGATCAAGATAAAAAAAATGTTCCCTTCTTCAAATGGTGGAACTGGAAATCATGCTTCTTCAACTCTTCCTCCACCTCCACCACTAATTCTCCCCGACCCACGTTTTATTCAACTTGAAAAGTTCAAGGTTACTCAAGCCTTGTTGGCATGCAAACACCTAGATGGAGATTTTGTGTATGCACATGTTCTGAAAATGAAGTCGCCAATTGACATATTGGGAATGTTGCGTGTCATTTTCCCAAGGGAGCTAGCCGTTGACTTGGTTATTCACTCGTTTCCTGAGTCATATAGATAGTTCATTAAGTACTACTATATGATTATCCACGACGTGACCCTAATGATCTGACATATTTGCTAATTGCTACTGAAGCAGAAATGATAAAGAGCACTGGTCAAGCAAATGTGTTTGAAGGATCTATCTCCCCAAACTCCATGGACAATAGCAACAATGGTAGTTTGGAAAAAGGTTTCTCTTTCCAATGGAAAGGGATCGGCCAAGCTCAAACCGTTTGTGTAACATCCGAGATTTACCATGTAGTAATATTATTTATCTTATTGAATAATGGGTTGTTTTGGGTTGGGCAGGATAGTTGGGCTTAAAGAATTGGACTGCAAAGGGCATTACGCAGGGCGTACCATGCCAGGTACGCTCATTGTACTCAAAAGAATTGGGCGGGGAGGCCATGCATGTATGCCTAGCGTACCAAGGGTACGTGCAGCGTACGCGCGCAGGTCCTAAACCCTAAATTTTAGGGTTTGATCCATATTTAAAGGATCTTATGTCCTTGGACCAGCCTCCCTATCACCCTTAAGCAACCACCTCGAAAACCCTAACCCCCCTTTTGTGTATTTTTGCCATTTAAGAGCTTCTTTGTGTGATTTTGGTGTTTCAAAAATGTAGGGGTATGAACTCACAGTTGTTTATGCATGTGTTGGACAACAAGACTTGAAAAATGACCCTCGAGTTGATGTATGCGGGATTAACGGAATCCTAATGATGATTAAACACATACTTGTATTTAAATTAGCGAAACCATTAATTTAAGTGTTAGAAAACACTTGTTTTTGTGTTAGGAATAGTTACCGAGATTGTTTGAAGTGAAAGGGTGGGTTTTTGGTCAAAGTTAAATCCGAAAACTAGATTCTCGGTCTTGTGTAGTTTTCGGCCGAAATCAGGTGTTCGGTTCTTCTGGTGTTTTCGGTCCTTTGAAGGTATGAAGACTGTTCTTGGTGTTCTTGAGGTATGAAGATTTGAAGGTTTCCTCTTGAAGATCTAGGTGTTCTTAGATGATCATTGGTGTGATTTGGGAGTGTTTTCGAGTGAAAAAGTGGGAAAATGACTAAGTTTTCGGATGAAATGGATATATACGATTGGGTATTCAGCCGGAGATGGGTTCTCGACCGAAATCGGTTTTCGGCCCGAGGGTTTTCGGCCGAAAACGAAGTGCTGAACAATTTTTGCTGTTTTTTGAGGGAAAACTTGATTCTCGAGTGTTTTTGGTTCCGAAACTTATATAAAATTTATTTATATAATATAAATGGTTTTCTAACCCTTACGAACTTAATGGAATAGATAAAATTCAAAATTTTATTTAATGGAATTGATTTTGTTGACTGGTAAAGCATCGGGTTGTCACATCATCCCCCCGTTAGAGGGAATTTTATCCCGAAATTCTTTCTATAGAATACAATCATGGACTAGGAAAAAGATGCGGGTACTTCTGTTTCATCTGGTTTTCTCGCTCCCAAGTGAGTTCAGGTCCCCACTTGGCATTCCAGCGAACCTTCACTATCGGTATGCTACTTTTTTTTTTTCGTTCGTTTGACTTCCCTATCCATGATTTCGACTAGTTCTTCCACGAAGTTAACACTCTCGTTGATATCGATTTCATCGAGTGGAATCACAAGAGTTTCGTTGGATAGACACTTTTTAAGATTTGACACGTGGAAGATGGGATGTATGTTGTTAAGCTCTTGAGGTAACCGGAGTTTGTAAGCTATGGGGCCGATCCTAGCAAGGATCTCGAATGGCCCAATGTAACTTGGATTAAGCTTTCCATGCTTTCCAAAGCGTATCATGCCCTTCCAGGGTGAGACCTTCAATAGAACGCGGTCACCAATCTAGAATTTCAAGGGTTTTCGTCTCTTGTCAGCGTAGATTTTTTGTTTATCCCTAGAGGCTTTTAATCGTCCTCGGATTTGTACGCTTTTTTC